TTGAACAACATATTCCCACATGTACACATGTTGGCTTTTTTTTTTAATTTGATTGTTATTATGTATCTCTATTTACATATCATCGTTTTTCATGCTATTTTTTATAACAGACATGTGCACTGTATAAAAGGCATTTCTTGAAATGAAACCAATGGCTGTGATAGAACCTCGCAGATAAATAAACACATAGCTACATGTAACTCCAACTGCACGCGCTAATCGTGAACACTGGATTACGGTGCATATAAAAAGAAGGGATATGACATTCTTTAAAAACTAAAATTAATTCTACTTATTTAGCAATTTGAAGATCATTTGTGGTGATATTCAAATTTATAAATAAATATGATTTTATAAATAAATATAAAATATAAAATGAAATTAAACAAAAATACATCTAATGGTATTCATAATATTAATGTGGTCGTACTCTTAAATGGCCACCCCCACCCCCCCACCACCCCACTTCCGACACGATTAAAAATCGACAAGACTTTACAGGTAACAACATTTAAGCTGAAGAATAACGGTAGCTGGTCCCGCCGCTGTGTAAACACGGTCTCAGGTAGAACCGCGATCAAAACCCGCGACGGTATAACGCGGAAAGGATTAATACACCGCGGAGGGGACGTGGTATAATACGGAATCCGCGTTGCCTATACTGTATATATTTAACAATTGCTTAGTTTGGTTACTTAATACCCAAAAGCAAGGTAGGGGAACAAAAAATGCATTTCAACGAATCAGTAATATTCAGCAATAATCAGTAGTGCCCCTACCACAACTGAACCCCTGACCCTAGGTCCATTATATTTAATATTTATATCAATATTTAATTAATACAAACGGGCAGATTCAAACAATTAATTCATTTTCAGTATATAAGAATCAGTAGAAGCCCCCCATTTTATTTTAAATTTTTAAGAAAGCCTTTCCTGTAGTTTTACAGGAAATAGATGAAACAATTGTATTTAGATGGTGAAGCGAATAATATCCGCTTGATTTTAGCTAAACACAAGCAAAATGCTGGATCATCCAAAAAAAAAAAAAAAAAAAAAACTGAAACATGTATCTTTAGATGTATCTATAGAAAACATATTAGATAATGTATTTTTTTTTTAAAAACGTTGGCGGAATACTACAAGTATGTATCTTTCTTGTGACATTACAGAAGAAAAAAGTATTTCGTTAATTTTTATACAAAGCCTTTAAAATGCGTGAAATTTTGTCAATATATATAAGGAAAAATTGGCCAGTTGCCAGGGAAAGGTCTTTGACCAGGTTTCCATAGTAACAATGACCCAAATTATTTTTTTTTTCCTTCCACATCCGTGGCTTAAATCCCGAGAAAAAGCTGTGAGTGAAAAATCATTAATTTCTGAGAACCCCGATGTATAATCTTTTATATGTAGGCTGCTTGATTCTTACGTGGATCTGTACTTAACAATGCCGCGTCTTCAGATTGACAAATTTATAAATATGACTAATAGACACACACACACACACACACACACTATATATATATATATATATATATATATATATATATATATATATATATATATATATATATATATATATATATATATATATATATATATATATATATATATATATATATATATTTACATATATATTTATATATATATGTAATGGATATATGCCAAATACTGCATGTTCTGTATGTTAAATTGACTGTTTCAGGCCAGTTAGGGCCGAAAACTGTCTGATAATTTTACATATTGAATAGTATGAGGTATATATCTTACTTAAAACATTGCCATTTAAATGTCCAAAAGTTACCTGGAGGAGTCCGATAATAACGCAATGGGAGTTCAAGCATCCATTGTTTTCTACCCGTCTGATAAGTAGATAAAAGAAATGAGTGAACGGTAAAAGAGTGAGTGAACTCTTGTTTCATTAATTTCATTCATTCAATGGCAGTCGTTTCGTTTACCAGGACAGGGGTACGGTGATGAAAGATTTTTTTTTGGAGGGGGGGGGCATTTTTATCTATAAATTGACACAGATACTGACATAATTTTGGATGATATTTTAACCATCACCATGGCAAGTAAAATGCGGATTTTTACCCTAGCTGAATTTTTAGATTAGATAATAGAAATTCTCAGGTTTTGAAAGTGTGGCCATCGGGGAAACATAAAAGGAGATTGCAAAATCATTTTTTCAGAAATGGATTTAAATTCAAAGTGCTGAATCAAAAACTCTTTTAAAGAGTGAAAATTAATGTGGAAGGTTTAAACTCGGATTTCTTTTCATGGATTTGCTATTTTGTATTGTGATCAACTTAATTTCCTTGTGTTTGGTTTCCCCGAATTTTTTTCCTAACATTTTTATTGGGGGTTTCTGGACATATTTAATCTTAATTTCATTCTTCTTTTTGTTTTTTAAATACCGACCGATTTTGTTATCATTGCCGTCCGATAATAAATTATAATTTATTATTATCGGACGGCTACAGGTAAATTTTTAGACTGCAAGAACAAAGGCTTGACGTCACAGCAATGTTTTAAATATATATATCATTTAGAGTCATCTCTCTTATCACATTGTCGATAAACATCCATATTAAAAGTTGAAATGAAAAACTTTATCATCTGCATGTACAACATTTTATTACAAACTACGGAAGGGAAAATGACCCTTCAAAAAGTTGACAAGCCCTATTGCAGTTTAATTCAAGATGTCATGTGCCTTACAATAAAGAATACTTTGTTTTAGGTCTTATAATTTTGTTACGGTTTACTCTTAAAATGCAGTGTGGCAAGGAACTTTGAAAACAAATACGCACTTTGACTTTTTTTTCAAAGTGAATTAAATTTGGGACTTTTTTAACGGTGTACATCAACATTTTACCATTGAGAAATTTAAACGCACTTTGAAAGAAATTAAAATTATGTATTAAACAAAAATTCTAGACTTCGATTTTAGTAATTGAGAGGATCAATTTGTAATAATTATATCTTTCGAAACCTTTTTAGCTCACCTAAGCTGAAAGCTCAAGCGAGCTTTTCTGATCACCCTATGTCCATCGGTCTGTAAACTTTTCACATTTTCCTCTTCTAAAGAACTACTGGATCAAATTAAACCAAACTTTGTACAAAGCATCCATTGGTAAGGGGGAATTTATATTGTTAAAATTAAAGGCCAAGTCACCTTCCAAGGGACGATTATCAAGAAAAAACAAAAATAAGGTGAGGTACATAGAAATATATAGGAAAAAACTTTAAATATCTTCTTCTCAAGAACCGAACACGGAGTACTTAACGAATCGAAAATCCTTGATGTTACCAAACGTCAAAAGCGTAACAATGCATGTAACGTTTCTCAACACAATCATCGTTTAACCAGACGCATTTCTTATGTCGTTTTAAACAGTCTTCAAAAATGTGTACAAACTGTTCAGATTTTGTATGTAAAATAATATTTAACACTTCCTGTTTCAGATCCTGTAAATCAATAAAACTTTGTCCGCGAAAAAAGACTAGTTAAGAAAATATGACAAAGTCACGCTGCGAAATACATTTTTGCAGCACTGTAATGTCGAAACGATTGTATTCCTTCACGCATGTCATCTTGTTAACTGTTTCTTCTGTCCGAAAATTTTATATTCCACTTCAATTCTAGAGAGCGGCTTTGTTTACTATATTTTTCCGACTGTTGAAAGCATTTATGGGTCTCTGTTGGTGTTTTTTCCGATCTCAAATCAGAATTTTATCACTGTTCACTGGTCCACCTTTTCAGAAAACGTCACTTTTTCGAACAACAGATTTTAACCTCAATTTCTTATCCATTTCTAAACACTGGATATTAAAAGTTTGCAGGTTTGTCGTTTTATCCTTTGTTAATTTCTCAATGTTAAAGCAATCTTGATATCCGCGGAATGTTACAAAATACAAATGAAATTTATAAAGGAATAAACAACTATTTAATTTTTCTTTAAACTTTAATTTCTTGTTGTGCTCCGGGACACCATCCCAAGATTAATTTTGCAGACATTATTGTAATTTTATACTTTAAATTGAATATAAGTTCACATTTTTTTAGTTCACATTTAGAAAAATATCTTTTTTATTCAACCATAATTTTAAATGTTTTTTTTTAACAGAACACATTTTCTAAGGAGTGCAATCTCTATGTAAGGTAAATGTTTGTGAGTTTACAAATTCATGAGTAAGGAATTATTAGGGATTTGTTTTGTCAAATTCATTTGAGGAAAAATTAAAGTAAATGATACAATTTTCTCTAACAAAAAGTTTTCTAATGAAATATGGAAGGTAATATTACATATAATTTATTGCATGCGTAAATTATTTTTCATATATTACATTGTGTCGAGGGGAGCATACCAGAATATTGCCACAAGGTGATAGGAAAGCCCTGGAGTGCTATCTCGCCCGATGCCGAGGGCTTTCCTGTCACCAAGGGGCAAACATTCTGGTATTGCTGTCGGAGAATAAAGCCATGTAATGTCTGTTTAATAAATTTTTTTGAACATTGAACCCAAATCGGTCACCCGACATCGAACATATTTATTGAACACTAATGCATGTATCATTACATGTACGTTGAGTATAATTCCGAAATTTTCCGTCCTGTTTCATGGCAGAATGTTTTTAGTCACTTTTGTTGATAACGTTTGTTACAAATTTCAGGATTTTTTCTCCTCAATTATATTATCTAATTCCTCAAATGAACAATTCGCAGACGTTGTCTTGACTTTTTAATTTTCGCGGAATTGTTTACGTTTACTTAGCAACTGCCTCTGTGAATTTCGAACCCGACGAATTTATTATGCAGAATGATCGCACGCTAGGGAACATAACTGTGTTCGGGAGGGCACAAAACTGTTTCCGGTGGAACATAACTGTATCCGGCATGATTCGGAAGTTTTTCAGGGCATATGGATAAAAATATGATATTTGTGATATAATGGGAAAACTTCTTCGAAAATTTTATATATGTAGTTATTCGATCTTTCACAAATATTTAATTTTCTTCACCAAACCCTTGGTCCACTCAGCGACAAAGAGGTTGTCACGCATATCTACGCATAAAAGCCGTGGATGATGAAGATCAAAGTTTTCAATGTAACGGAGGAACTGTCCATCCTGATGTAGGATGTGGATACAGTTGTTGTTGTTATTGTCTGATGTCAGGAGATGACTCTTGCTGTCTGTTATGATGCCGTATGGATAAAACAATCCTTTGGAAGTAGAACTATGACCAGTATATTTAAATCGGAGTTCTCCCGCCTTAATAACCACCATTTTTGCACTTGCAGCATTGTCAGCAAAACAGATATCCAGGTTTTTATTCTCACTGATGTTTTTACTGTAGTGACAAGATAAATAGAGAGGCTGGCATACACTATCAAACTGAATGATTTGTTTTTCCATGGAACCAGAGTAACGGACTACTCTACACTCTTCAATCTCATCATAAACGGCAACTAAAACGTCACCACATGAGGTACTATAGATGTTGGTAGGTAGCAATCCCTTTAATCTGATCGTTTCATGTACATGTATTATTTTATTCTCCACTATGTTTACAGTTCTTTCATCTTGAGTAGCATACACTAGATCTCCTCCACTTGTCACTGACATGTCATGTGGTATGAAGCCTGATTTGGTTTGGACTGACTTCATTAGGATACCCTAGAGGTTATAGAGTTTCTTAAATCGGTTTCTTCCACGCATCCAGATTTCGTCTTCACCATAGCAAGTTAAGCTAAAAAGTTCATCATACCCAGTCTGTATAGCAGTAATGAATTCTGGTTCATCCAGAACCACTTTGTAATCATGCTCTTCTGTTGTTGACAATGCCGATAGAGAACCAAACATTTCACTAATATTCTCTGAAATGATCACCTTAGGAGAAAAAGTTGGTAATGAAATACTGACTTTAGACGATAACTTTTTAAATTCGGCATTTCTAGATTTGTGTGCAGATATGAATGAGACATTATTAGAATCCAGCATTGCCTTCAGATCACAAATACTCTGTTGAACATCAAGAGTAATTTTTTTTATTTCATCTTCTTCTTTCTTTAGAACAGCCAAATGTTTTGCTTTCATCTCACCAATATCTGATTTTTGTTTGTTGACAATAAAGATAATTTCCTTTTTCAAGTTTTCACCTTGTTTGGTGACAGCTGTTGTCAGTTTCTCATAATTTGTCTCCACGTCTTCTTTTTCAGAGTTTAAATCTGATGCAATTTTTTCATATGCAGGATAGATTCTTTCCTGTAGTTCTTTCAAATCTGTTTCTAAATCCTTGGTTTTTAGAACTTAATTTTTCCTGAGCATCTGATAAATCATGCCCGTTGTGTTTTCCAGATGAGATGCAGGAAGCACAAACTGGAATATCACAAGTCTCGCAGTAAAGTTTACAATGTTTTTTGATGTGGTTTAAGCATCTTGGGTACTTTGATTTAAAATATCTGTGTTTGTACGGTACAATATTGTGTCTGATGGAATGATCAGAGAGGTGTTTTTCAACGCAGGCTGTACAAAGATTAACATGACAAAGTTTACAATGACTCTGTAATGCAGCTGCTTGACACAGGTCACAGAGGAGGATCTCTTGCGCACAGTACCGGGGGTCCATTATACGTAATTGTATCTCATGACCATGATTCTGTGAAAGACATTATGAAATTAGAATATAACAAGTACATTAAATTCAATCTGCTAATCTTTGAATATTTCTAAAACGCGTTTTGTAAGGCATCATTTGATTGGATAGAAAAATTAGTTTTGTTAGAATAATCTATGATCTCTACGTCAAAATAAATTGTACTTATTGAATAATTCATTTATCTCGATGTTAAGATTCAATTTGATTCAACACGAAGACATTTTGAGAGTATATTATCCTATTTTTACACTTAGTGGAAAACATCAAGTTCTGAAAAGCTACTTTTAAATTATTTATATATATTGGGCTTAATCTACTCATTGCCAATCAAGTGGGTTTAAATTTTTTTTTATAAATTTTACTTCGGTATAGATAGGTATAATGGTTGAGGGTTTGAGTTAAATGAATTGAAAAGTTCAAATAGTGAATGATTAGATAGTAGCCAAACCAAGGGGTTTATAATACAATTATTTAAGAAAGACAGGCATTTAGACTTTTCTGAATAAAGACGTTATGGGAAAGAGCAAAAAAAAAATCAATAATAATTATAAAAACCAGTTGTTAGTGTCTTAGGGAATTGACGTTAAGTTGTGGGTGTGTCTGTAGAAGATTGAGAACACAATTCTTATATATCTATTTATGGGATTCTATTGGAGAATGCAGTGCCTCACTTTCTCCCTGGCCTGTCTCTTACCCTGTCTCTACATAAGAAAACATTTAAGTACTGTGTGATACACCGGTACCTCTATTATCATTCCAATTACATGTAATCATTTAGACAGAATGAAAAAAAAATCTATCTAACCCTTGAAAAGGACCTGCTCCTAAGCAAGCTACCTAGGAAATATCTTTCAGATCTTTAAAAAAAAAACAACACAGCCATTATACAAAGTCAATCTAAGGTATTATATAATCAAGTTTGTACAGATTATGACCGCAAACTTCCTTCGCAACGGTTTTGAAATCATTTCTGCTTTCTATAGCTAATTTAAGCGATATGGACAATATTCATTTTGTTTATTTTATGTTGTTGAAATTGTTTTTAAAAGTAAAATTAAAATATGGCTGTCTTTTTCTTATATTATGTAAGTAATATTTAAAAATCTGAAAATATTTCTTATTAACATTTTAATTAGTTGATATTGATTAATGATTATTGTAGATACATATTTTTTTCTTTCTAACATATCACTGTTCACTCTTTACGTTTGGGAGGTCGTGAGATCGAACCTTTGCCCTGACTGTCTTAAATATAAGTCGATAAAAAAAATGGTTACCAACTGTTCCTTCTCTATGCGCTCAGAACTTTGTAGTGAACGTTGCGGGTCCTTCGGATAAGACCTTAAAAACCAAGGCCTGGTGTAATGGCAGGCCTTGGCACGATAAAGCTCCATCAAGGCTCAATGGCCCTGAGTGCCGAGTAAAGGACAAGATTTGAAACCATTCACTGGTCTGTGGAAACGTCTCTATATGAGTGAAATATTACTTTATTTGACGTACACCAACATAAAACAAATCAATCACTCTTACATCATATTCTATTGTAAAGGACAAGTGCTCTTAAGAAAAACTTAATGGGCCCTTTTTGTGCCATTTTACTTTGGAATCTAGCGAAGATGCTTTAGAATGTATTACTAAATCGTTCTCTATTGGTCATAGTGTGTTACCAGTGGATATTTCTAATTAATACCCATTCTCTGTAACCACTTAAACTTTTGTGGCACGCATAGTCACAGATTTTTTTCATATTTGGCTGGAAAGAACCACCTCATAAACTACTTCAAAAAATATAGTTAGATCATATGAATGTTGAGTAGTTACCATGGAAACGGTGTCTAAAGTTGATTTTTTGTGAAAAAATGCAATATTTGGGAAAGTTTTTAAAAGAAATGCGGCTACTTCAATTCATGTTACTCACAAAATTAAGAAATATAACATCTAACTTTAAAAGGCATGTTAAAACCTTGTTGGTATTCTTTTTATAAATATGAGAATTCTTTGATTAAAATAGCAGACAATAACTTTGAAATTGAATTATCTCCCTTTGATAATTGTGAGCTCTTCAGTGAGAAAGATAAAAAAATCATTATACAAAAATGACTGGAAGTTGTCAGCATACAGCTCTCTTGATCAAGGAATTCAAGTAAAATCAACTGTTTTTCCTGTTTATTTAATTTGCATACAAATTTTAGCCTCTGTTTATATCCTACCTGCAAAAGAATAACTTTGATATGTGAAAAATCGTGAAATGTACAAGCTAGACTACATAGTTCAGGAAATCAGCTCTGTACATAAGCATTAGTCTCAAGGTCTAAGGAGTTTCAAAACGGGATTCAAGATAAACTTGAAATATCAGAATTACTTGTATTATGAATTTGGTTTTTTTAAAAGAATTACTGTGTCTCACGATCAGTCAGAGTGATATACTGGAGGACTGCAATGAATACGGCGTTAGAAAGCAAATGAATTTTTAAACTGAATGTTATTATAGAGACTAATAATTTTTTTTAAAAAACTGAATATGTCCTTGGCTGAAAGGGAAAAAAATACACTGAATAATAGCTACAATTCCCATCCACAGGTCATTATTTCAAATTCAGAATTTTTTTTTCGAAACCCATGGTATAATACATATTATATATGGGTTAGAAAATTGTTAAATATGCAAATCCCCCCTCCCCTTCCTAAATGAAAAAGAGTTTGGGCATTTTATATATTATTTTTGGTTTTTTTTCTTTGCTCTTCAGACTTTTTTCTGTGAAGAAGAAAATTAATAATTTTCCCTAAAGATCATATTGGAAATAAATATGTCCTGCCATGAAAATAAACCTAACTTAACCCCCCCCCCCCTTCTGGATCAAAAGTCGTCCCCTAGCCCATAGTAAACGCAGTCATATTATGTAGTTTTTAAACATGATTAACAAGTGTACTATAAAATGTTTTGTTAACCAGTGAAATATATTTTTGATGATTAAGGTAGTTGCATAGAAATACAAATTGTCTGTGAATCAAATTTAGATTTAACGGTTTATCATTTTTCTGGACTAAGATACATTGTGATTTAAACTTATAGCAGTACAATATTAAATATGTCTAGCAATATTTTATTAATAATGAAAATAATTTTCTGCCCCCCCCCCCCCAAAAAAAAAAACAACAATTAATTAAAGCAAAATAGGAGATTATTTGAACAGGTCCAGCAGATGTTTACAACAGATTATTATTGATTAAACTTTGGGAAAATCAGATCTTTTGCGTAGATCCAGGCATATTTGTGTTGAAATATTTACCATCAACATCGCTAAAGTCATTTTTTTAAAGAATGATATAAATTTCAAAGTAAATTAGATTTCTCCGTCAACTTCTCTGAAAAAAAAATCACTGGAAAACACATTTTGACTGTTACTTGAAAAGTTCGGATTGTTAAATATGGTTTAAAAATGTACATTTAGGAGCATTGGATTAGTTTACTAAAACAGCAGAAGAGTGTCTTACATGTTTGTAGCGCAATTCTCTACATACAAGAAGTCTTGCACTCAATATGGAAAGTGTATAGTCGTCCAATATTCTTAAATGCCTACATGTACCTTTATATCAATAAAACCTGAAAACTGTACTTATATAAGCATTTTCGCATTATGCATCAAGCTAAAGGGAGAATGTAAAACCAGTTTTCAATAAAATACATTCAATATACGGGATTGAGGTCAGGATACAACATTTACAATACCAGTATTCCGAATAACCGAGAATATGTCTCCCTTGCTTAAGGAGATAAGAATTTCTGTAGATTAAGAAGGGGGTGTGGGAGGGTGGTGGGGTAGGGGATGGGACACTTTAAGTGGGGCGGGCCGGACCATAGGGAGTTATGAACAAAACAAAAGCTAACCTTAACGTATTTTGTTTAGATATCGCTCGGAAATGAGAGTTTTACATACAAACAATGTTTTTTTTCTACCTTTACCTTTTGACCTAGAAATAAATAGGGGTCATTTTAAGCCAAAGCAAGTTGTTGTATAAATCCAAATTGAAAGAGATCATAGGCTTCTTAAGATATCCCATGATAATAAGATGTTAAAACAGACAGAGGGGGGGGGGGTAATTTTCATAGACAAAAAAATAAATAAATGCCTATTTTCTCCCAATTTCAAAGTTATTTACAGCTAAAACTGTGTATTTTATTAATATATATATACTAGTATGTTTTACTTACTTGCGTAAAACATGAGAAAAAAATCTGCGTAACATTTAAGGAATGAAGCTTATTTCAACTTATGTTATCCAATATAACATAACTTGGGGCAGTTTACGCTTTATAAACCGTGAAGCGGTTTATAAAAAAGCGTAAACTGCTCCAAGTTTTGTTATATCGGATAACATACATGTAAGCTGAAATTAGCTTCATTCCTTATAATTTAATTCTAGTGTAGACAATGAGTTAATATTACCTCCGGAAAAAGACTTCAAATTGAGCATTATTTTAAAAGTAACGTCAAGCGGAGTAATACATTTTTGACGTTACTCGTTGTGACGTAGGCAAGTTATGTTATCCAAAATATTTTATGTTCCTCTGAATGAATCAGCCTATGAAATTGCTTGATACAAGTGAAATTAAATTATTTAATTATATCCAAGATTTTTTCAAAATATGGGGATGCTTGAAAGTCTGATTTAAATGGAAAATATCATCGACCCCCCCCCCCCTTATTTCAAGAGTTGGAATAAGGGATAATGTACTATTTAGCACTGGTACTAAAATAATGAATCAAATACCCTTGAACTGTTTTTTTTTTTTATTTTTAATAAAGATTTTATGGCTAAATTGCCATTATTATTGAATAAAATGGTAGCAAAATGTAGGCGGGAATTGAGAGTTAGCGTGCATAGTTCTTTATATACCACTGTGACCTTGAACTTTGACCTTCTGTCCATATGGACACACATTCATATGATGCTAGTTATTGTTGACC